GGGTGAGCTGGACCGCAGAGTGAAGGCAAAGGGGCCAACAAGTGCTAAACACCTCTGGGAACTCCTTCAAGACTGTTGGAAAACCATTTCAGGTGACTACCTCTTGAAGCTCATGGAGAGAATGCCAAGAGTGTGCAAAGCAGTAATCAGAGCAAAGGGTGGCTATTTTGAAGAAACTAGAATATAAAACATGTTTTCAGTTATTTCACCTTTTCTTGTTAAGTACATAACTCCACATGTGTTCATTCATAGTTCTGATGCCTTCAGTGAGAATCTACAATGTAAATAGTCATGAAAATAAAGAAAACGCATTGAATGAGAAGGTGTGTCCAAACTTTTGGCCTGTACTGTATATCTATATTTACGAAACAACAGTTAGCTCACCTGCAGCAAACATATGTTACGACCGCGGCTCGGCAGCACGGAGGCTATTTCCTGAAACAACTTTATGCTGTACTGATTGGCGGCAAGCAGTCACATAACATTATGACCTACTCTTAAAGCAACTGGCTGCATTTTGCATCCGGGTTACACACGGCTAATTAGCTGGACGAACATTAAATTTACTCGGTCTAACATCAAGATTAACAACGTGTCCATGCGACGGAGACTAAGCTGACGGACTCTGAGCAAACAGTCTCACTGAAGCGTGAGCCCCGCGGAGTAACGCAAATGACGTCCCCAGGGAAACAAAAAGATACGCCACAAAAATCAACATGACAGGAACCTATTTACAGGTGAAACGGATTTTGGGGAAGTTCACAATAAAATAAAAAATATAAGGGCTTCATAGAAAGAAAATAAATAAGTAAATAAAAGGATATGTATATAAATGAATATCAAAATCATCTTGGTTACAACTGCGTCAACATATGTAACAGCGTCAAAATGTTTCACTGCGTCACTACATTACTGCGTCACTGCATTACTGCACCACTGTGTCAGTATGTGTCAGCATGTGTCACTGCATCAACGTGTCAACATGTGTCACAAACTGGTTCAGTGAATGTGACAATTAGGAAGTCCACATAAGAACAAGCAGAATTTACTAAAATTAACTGAAATAATCCTTGGAATGTGTAGGTCAGCAAAGTCAGTTATAAAAGCCATGCATGGGTGTGTCAGGTGTGCTGTGGAGGTGGTGAAGGTGCAAACCAAAAAGCAATGATGCCCGGTGGATGTCAGCTGAAGGAAGGGAGAGAGTGAGTGAACACATGAGGCAGCTTTTATAGCCTGGAGGCCCAGGTGAGCCGAAGCAAGGTAACGACCCTCCCATGTCAGCCAACTGCCTGATGAGGCTGACTGGAACATTCTCCAAGACAGTGGGAGGGGCGTCACAACATGTGTCAACATGTGTCACTGTGTCAACATGTGTCACTGCGTCACTGCATCAACATGTGTCACTGCTTCAAGATGTGTCAAAATGTGTCACTGCATCAACATGTGCCACTGCGTCACTGCTTCAACATGTGTCACTGCGTCAACATGTGTCAAAAAGTGTCACTGCGTCACTGCTTCAACATGTCACTGCGTCCTTGGTCACTGCTTCAACATGTGTCACTGCGTCACTGTGTCACCGTGCCACAGCATCACTGTGTCACTACACCACTGTGTAACCACGTCACTGATGTCACTGCGTCACTGCATCAACATGTGTCCCTGCGTCACTGCTTCACCATGTCACAGACTCACTGTGTCACCGCATCAACATGTGTCACTGTCACTGAGTCACTGCAATACTGCATCACGGCATTACTGCATCAACGCATCACTGCACCACTGTGTCAACATGTGTCACTGCGTCACTACATTACGGCATCACTACATTACTGCATCACTGCATCACTGCGCCACTGTGTCAACATATGTCACTGCGTCACCACATTACTGCGTCATATCATTACTGCATCAATGCATCACTTGCACCACTGCGTCAACATGTGTCACTGTGTCAACATGTGTCACTGCGTCACCACATTACTGCGTCACTGCGCCACCGCATTACTGCATCACTGCGTCAACATGTATCACTGCGTCAACATGTGTCACTGCATCACCACATTACTGCATCACTGTATTACTGCATTACTGCGTCACTGCGTCAATGCAGCACTGCACCGCTGTGTCAACATGTGTCACTGTGTCAACATGTGTCACTGCGTCACTGCATCAACATGTCACTGCGTCAAGATGTGTCAAAATGTGTCACTGCGTCACTGCATCAACATGTGTCACTGCTCCAAGATGTGTCAAAATGTGTCAATGCTTCAACCTGTGTCACTGCGTCACTGCTTCAACATGTGTCACTGCATCAACATTTGCCACTGCGTCACTGCTTCAACCTGTGTCACTGTGTCGAGATGTGTCACTGCTTCAGTCTGTGTCACTGCGTCAAGGTGTGTCAACCTGTGTCAACCTGTGTCACTGCTTCAAGGTGTGTCAGCCTGTGTCACTGCTTCAAGATGTGTCAAGATGTGTCACTGCTTCAACGTGTCGCTGCGCCACTGCATCAACATGTGTCAAAAAGTGTCACTGCGTCACTGCTTCAACATGTCACTGCGTCCTTGGTCACTGCTTTAATATGTGTCACTGCGTCACTGTGTCACCGTGCCACAGCATCACTGCGTCACTACACCACTGTGTAACCGCGTCACTGATGTCACTGCGTCACTGCTTCACCATGTCACTGAGTCACTGTGTCACCGCATCAACATGTGTCACTGTGTCACTGAGTCACTGCAATACTGCATCACGGCATTACTGCATCAACACATCTCTGCACCACTGTGTCAACATGTGTCACTGTGTCACCACATTACGGCGTCACTACATCACTGCACCACTGTGTCTACATGTGTCACTGTGTCACCACATTACGGCGTCACTACATTACTGCATCACCAGATTACGGCGTCACTGCATCACTGCGCCACTGCGTCAACATGTGTCACTGCGTCACCACATTACGACGTCACTACATTACTGAATCACTGCATCAACTTATCACTGCGCCACTGCGTCAACATATGTCACTGTGTCACTGCGCCACTGTGTCAACATATGTCACTGCGTCACCACATTACTGCATCACTGCGTCAATGCATCACTGCACCACTGCATCAACATGTGTCACTGCGTCAACATGTGTCACTGCGTCACCACATTACTGCGTCACTGCATCAACGCAGCACTGAGCTGCTGTGTCAACATGTGTTACTGTGTCAACATGTGTCACTGACTTTACTGTGTAACCTTGTGTTTGAGGATCAGGTCGTAATGATGATAAAAATTCATGCAGCTCGTCAGCGACAGAAACATTACCAAATCAGGGAAGCTAACCGTTTGCTTCAAAGCACGTACCTCAGAGATGTGTCCTTATTAATGTCTGTCCTTTGGAGGACAAATATGATACATGATGCAGGTGGAGCTTTAGCTGTGGTGGGTGGAGGCTCCACATCAAACGTCTGACGTCATCTGGTCAGGTTAAAGACAAAACAGTCACAACCCATTTCTACTGAACGCTGGCATCAGCGTGGATTACAAGCCCGCTGTGGTCAGAGTAAAGGCAGTGTCCTCTGTGTGTAGAGAAAATGACAGTGTCCTCTGTGTGTAGAGACAAAGACAGTGTCCTCTGACTGTAGAGACAAAGACAGTGTCCTCTGTGAGTGTGGACACACAAAGACAGTGTCCTCTGAGAGTGTAGACACAAAGACAGTGTCCTCTGTGAGTGTGGACACACAAAGACAGTGTCCTCTGTGAGTGTAGAGACAAAGACGGTGTCCTCTGTGAGTGTGTAGAGACAAAGACAGTGTCCTCTGTGAGTGTAGAGACAAAGACGGTGTCCTCTGTGAGTGTGTAGAGACAAAGACAGTGTCCTCTGTGAGTGTAGAGACGAAGACAGTGTTCTCTGTGAGTGTAGAGACAAAAACGGTGTCCTCTGTGAGTGTGGACACAAAAACAGTGTGTGTGTGTGTGTGTGTGTGTGTGTGTGTGAAATGTTGCTGGACTACAACATAACTTCCGGAGCTGGACCGTCCCTGCAGGGCGGGACGAGAGGAGGTGGATGAACTTCCACCCAGGAGACACTGGTCACTTCCTGTTTTCCTAAACCGACCCACGTGCGTTCACTCGTCTGAGCTGAACGCAGCTCAGTGTCTTTTCTTTGTTTCCTGCAGGTCACCACAATGCAGCTTCCCACACGGTTGCTTGGGACATGTCTGTGGTTGCTATGCATTACTCACGTATGGACAACGACCTTTAAGCTGGCTCTGATTGGGCCGTGGTCATGTGACCCCATGTTCTCCCGGGCGATGCCATCAGCGGCGGCTAACCTGGCGTTGTTACGGTTACGGAGCGACAGTGGTCTTAGCAGAGGTTACTGGTATGACTTCAAATTGCTGGAGGAAGACTGCTCCGCTTCTAAAGGTTTGTTAACCAATCAGCTGATGAGACCTAAGTGATGACATCATAAAGATAATGATGATAATAATAATAATGATTGTAAATAAATAATAATAACACATTATAATAAAACAATTAGTTCCACTGACTCTTGTTCACGTCTCGTTTCTTCTCTGGTTTTATTTCAGCGCTCATAGAACTCGGGGACATGGAGGGTTATGGCCACGCCTACATTGGGCCCTTTAACCCCGCCCTGTGTCATGCTGCCTCCTTATTGGCTCAGCACTGGGAGGCAGGGCTTGCCTCTCCAGGCTGTCTGGATGCTGACTGGCCAAACCTGCCGCCCATCACTCAGCCCAGCAGAGTCTTGTTCACCGTGCTCAGGTTCTTCCGCTGGGCACACGTCGCTGTCATCTCAGGTGAGTGATGTCACAGCTAGGGCGTGGCCTGTCATTAGGGGCGTGGCCTCTTCCTCAGAGTCTCATGTAAAAGAATGGATGAAACTTTATCTTAATCTCAGATAAACTTTTCCTGTTTTACTGGACTGAAGATGTTTTCAGTTTCAGTTTTTCAGAAAGCAGAAATGTTTTTTGTTTTTTTTAATTAATGACTCATTTATGTTTATCTATGTTGATTTATTTAGAAGGGGACAGAGCACGTTAATGAACATGACGACTTAATTCATGTAAATGTGCCAGATTTAGCCTGGCAGGTCCCGGCAGGTTGACAGTGTTTGAGATTTAAAGACAGCACACCTATCGATGTGTGTCCTTTTTAATAACGCATTGATTTGTAATCGTTTGACTTAAGCTCATTATTCTCCAGCTCATCAGCATCTTTTTTTTTTTATCTTGTTGCAGAAAATAAAACTGTGTTTTAAAACTTTTTGACTGATTGACAACAGTTTAAAACTTCAATAAAAAAACAGACACGATGATTTGTAAATTCTCATTTACCCACATTCACCTGAACACAGCCCAGAGACGTTTCATATTCAAACTGATAAACTTTACTGTTCTGTGTTAACGAACACAGCCCAGAGACGTTTCATATTCAAACTGATAAACTTTATTGTTCTGTGTTAACGAACACAGCCCAGAGACGTTTCATATTCAAACTGATAAACTTTATTGTTCTGTGTTAACGAACACAGCCCAGAGACGTTTCATATTCAAACTGATAAACTTTATTGTTCTCTGTTAACGAATACAGCCCAGAGACGTTTCATATTCAAACTGATAAACTTTATTGTTCTCTGTTAACGAATACAGCCCAGAGACGTTTCATATTCAAACTGATAAACTTTACTGTTTTGTGTTAACGAACACAGCCCAGAGACGTTTCATATTCAAACTGATAAACTTTACTGTTCTGTGTTAACGAACACAGCCCAGAGACATTTCATATTCAAACTGATAAACTTTATTGTTCTCTGTTAACGAACACAGCCCAGAGACGTTTCATATTCAAACTGATAAACTTTATTGTTGTGCGTTAACGAACACAGCCCAGAGACGTTTCATATTCAAACTGATAAACTTTATTGTTGTGCGTTAACGAACACAGCCTAGAGACGTTTCATATTCAAACTGATAAACTTTATTGTTCTGAGTTAACAAACACAGCCCAGAGATGTTTCATATTCAAACTGATAAACTTGTGTTCTAAGTCTGCAGCAGGTTTTAATAAAGTTGGGACAGGAGCATGATCCTGTCACTGTGTGACATCATCACCCCAGTCAGTGTTTGGGAACTGATGAAATGAACTGCTGAAGTTTATTCAACTTCAGTGTCTTAACAGTCCCATGACGCTTCATCATGTCCCACACATGTTCAGAGGGAGACAGGTGTGGACAGCAGGCAGGTCAGTCTGGTACCTGCACTCTGTCACTACGAAGCCAGGCTGTTGGAACATGTCACAATGTGTCTCAGTGTCTTGCTGCGTTCATTAACACAGAACAATAAAGTTTATCAGTTTGAATATTCTCTGGGCTGCGTAAAGTTGACAGTAGATTTACAGATTATTTCATCCACTCATCGTTCAGACACATGAATCACATGATCACAGTGAAGTCAAACTAACAAAAAAGTTTTCATAGATTTATAAAAACTGTCATCACTTTAATGTTTCACAAACTTCCTGTTTGGTCATCAGCTCCGTCGGACCTATGGGAGAGCACTGGACAGGAAGTGGCTTCAGCGCTCAGAGCTCTGGGCCTGCCGGTCGGTCCGGTGGTTACCATGGAAACGAAGAACAAAGGTGGACCACGGGAGGCACTCAACGTGATCAGAGAGGCCGACAAGGTCAAAGGTCAGATCTGAATCTGATGGGTTGTGTCATAGAGTTTCAACGACATGTCAAAAAAAAAACGCTGTGACATCATCAGGAGGTTGAAATGTTTCTGACTACAGAACAAGATCAGAATTGATGACACTCTTATCATTTACGTCTGACATGTTAAAAACTGATAAACTCTGAGTTTCCTTTAAACCTTCCAGTGGTGATAATGTGCATGAGCTCCGTCCTGATTGGTGGAGAGGATCAGAGAGAGCTCCTATTGGCTGCTCTGGACCTGGGGATGGTTTCCGATGGCTACGTGTTTATTCCATACGACGCCCTGCTGTATGCCATGCCTTATCAGGTAACCAATCAATTTAATACCTGATATATTGATCAACAACTTTAACAGAAAACTTTAATCACTGAAAATAAATTAAAACAACTTTTGTTCCATATTTTACATTTATAGACATTTTCCAAACAACTGGATTTACAAATATTATTATTATTAATTTTATTGTTGTTGTTTTTACATCACTGAAGCCGTTTGATTTGATCATTAAGTTTTCTGAATTAAACGTTTCAAAATAATTGTTAATCCTCAAAAGGTTCAGACCTTAAACAGGAAGTCCTTTTTCAGAATAACGTTCATTTGAAGATGTTTTTTTTTGTTTGTTTGTTTGTTTTAAATTTCCTGGTTCTCTCCTCTTACCAATCAGGAAACAGTATTCCCTCAGCTGACCAACAGCACGAAGCTTCGTCACGCCTACAGCGCTGTTCTGACCATTACCATGGCGTCCGATCAGAATTTCTACGAAGCTTTTCGCCAGGCTCAACTCAACCGAGAGATCCGCTCTGCTGTGGCTGCTACTGAGGTAAATAACAACAAATAAATAACAAACACAGAGCACATACATAGCAGATAAATAAATTAATGATCAATAACACACTTCTTGTCCTTAATCAATGAAAACTGGACACGTGGGATTCATGGTGCCCTGACCTCTGTCTGCAGGTGTCTCCTGTCTTTGGGACCATCTTCAACATGGTGTACTTTGTTGCTAAGGCGGTGGAGGAGCGTCGTCAGGCAGGGGGCGGGCACTGGGTGACAGGCGAACAGCTCGTCCAATCAAATGGAGGCTTTGATTTCCAGGGTTTCAATCAGGTCAGAAACATTTTGACACTTGACAAATATAATCTCACTCAATATAATCGCTTAATTTATAATGAATGTGAGGAGGGTAACACAACCCTCTGTGTTTTACTCTGACGTTCAGATTGTTGCAGAGCTACGAGCTCGCACTTTAGAAAAGGTCATGCGAAACCACATGGAGCGCCGACGGGATTTCTGTTCATTAAAACATGATGTCACATCAGTGATTGATGTGTCGAGAGTGGCAGACACAAAGATTTTAATCTCTTCGAGTGTTTGTATTTATTTCAGGTTCTTTTAGGGATCTTAAACTTGAAGTTAAAAATATTAATATAATAAGAATATGCCCCTTTCATGAGCTGTATTTATTCACACACACTGTGTCTTTGGCTGTATCATGACAATGTTTTGCTTTATCTGTGAGATGGAGACAACTGTTCCTGCTTTACTCTAACTGTTTTGAGATGATTGTGTTAAAGTCTGTTTCACCATTCAGGTCTACATTCACTCTTTCACAGCCTGATGCTCCTCAGGATTAAACAGTGAACAGTGTAGTGCTAATGTTAAAATATTAAATCCTTTGTAGTTTGAATTCTGTGTGGAGGAAATTTATAAAACAATTTTCTCTGACCTTTTACATGAATACTTTGGTCTTCATTTTGAATATCTTTATTTATTTATCATTATTATTGTTTTTGCATCCAGCGTGTGTGTCCAGTAAGGGTGCTGCTGAGGGTCATAACACCAGCTTTAATAAAAACTATTGATAGTATGTATTAGTCTTTAATTAAATTCATGTGATGTGGACTCTTTTCGTACACGACAACAGAGAGGTAATGACAGGAAGTCTCAGCGTGGTGGCGAGAGTTCATACAGAGTGATTAACACAAGGTAACGTCCGTCACTACTGAAGAACAGCGACTCATTTGGACATTTGGTCTGGTTATGAAATAGATGTGAAAACAGGAGTTTGTGTTGATGATTGAAGGTACGAACTCTCCCAGAGACACAGAGACAACACAACAGCAAACAAACAGTTTATCAGTGAAGTGATAAACAGACCGACAGTGACAGCTGACTCGATGAGCGGCTTCTCTGTCGGGTGAATGTACATCAGTGCTCTGCGTTACATTCAGATGTGTGGACCAAGCACATTCCCGGGTACAATCCTTCGTTCACATGTTCTTTTTAATGACAGCTGAATTTACAGATGAACACATTGTCAGCTCCTGATTTCTCTCCTTTTTTATCTCAGGTGTTATACGGAGGTAAAGAGGGGCGTGGCCTAGAGGCCAGGTATGTGGTGTTGGACAGCGATGGCGACCGACTTGTACCAACGCACTCACTTGCTCCAACACACACCGATGGGACAGTTGGAGGTCTGAGGCCGATGGGTCGCTCCTTCTTCTTCCCCGGAGGAAAACCCCCCACTGCCAGCTTCTGTTGGTTCAGTCCAGAGGAGGCCTGCAGGGGAGGTGTGTTCACTGACCTATGGGGAGGGTAGGAAATTTGTGTAGCATATAATGAATTCTATCAGCTGTATCTGTCCATGGTGTCTGAAGGTCTGAGCTCTGTTGAGCGCCACCCTACTGTCCACCATGATGAGTGTAGGTTAGTGTCACTGATCAGCAGGAAGTGACACGTCTTTTATTACTTTATTTTTTTTTCAGGTTTGGACACGGTGACGATGTTCTTTGTCTTCCTGTTGCTCTGCGCTGTGATTGGAGCTTTCATCTACCTGATCAGGTGAACACATACACACACACACACACAGTCCATTCTGTTTCTTGTTCTATACATTGGGGGTGGGGCTGCAGGCTAACCAAGGTATTCTAGACATCCCTCTGACCAGCTCCGTCCTCCTGGAGGATCCCGAGCGTCCCCAGACCAGGGGCCGGGGCCTCCTACCAGCTGGATCAGGAGGATCCTGATCAGATATTGAACCCCCTCAACATGAAGGAGCAGCGGCTCTACTCCGAGCTCCCTCCAGATGTCTGACTCCTCCCCGTATCTCTAAGGCTGAGACACTCTACAGAGGAAACTCATCTCAGACGCTTGTATCTGTGATCTCATTCTTTCAGTCACAATCCAGAGCTCATGACCATAGGTGAGGGTTGGGATGGAGATGGACTGGACCATGACGTATTAGTGTGAGCTATCCGCTGCTTTCCAGAATCAAACTATGGCCTCAGATTTGAAGGAGCTGACTCTCATCCTGACAGCTTCACACTCAGCTGCAAGAGAACCATATCATCTACAAAGAGCAGATGATGTCCCCTGATGTCTGAGGTCCCCAAACTGGACCCCTTCCGGCCAGCAGCTGCCGAACAATGGGGGTTTTAAACATGGCCCACTTGGATTAATCTCTCCAACCTCCCCCAGGATGGAGATCAGGCAGGCTTTACCCCCCGATCACCGCCTTTCAAGTTTCTCCATCATTGCCTATGTGAGCGTCAGAGTCCCAGTCTCCAGTCGGTATCCTTTCCAGGGCACCACCCAGAGACTCGATCAAGGCTGAGTACTCTGGGCTACTGTTTGGTCCATAAGCACAATCCAGAGTCAGAGACCTCATCAGCAACTTGCAGTTGCATGGAGAGACCCTCTTGTTTCCCGTGGAGAACTCAAACACAGTGCAGCTCAGGTGGGGGCTCATGAGTATCCCACCAACTGCCCAGCACCTCTCACTCTCGGTGATCAACTTGATTGAATGTTTGATTGTTTGATTGAGATTGATTGATTGAGGCTAGCCCCTCTTCTGGAGCTTAGTTCCACAACCAGTGCTATGTGTGGAGGTGAGCCCAACTTCATCTAGATGGTACTGCTCCACCTCCTGCACCACCTCGGATTCCTTCACAGACCAGAGACGTTCAACATCCCTAGGTTGGGGCGGCTGTGGCTCAGGACAGGTTGTCCACTAATCAGAAGATCAGCATTTTGATCCCCGGCTCCTTTGGTCTGCACGTCTAAGTATCAGTGGGGAAGATACTGAACCCCGGATTTCTCCTGATGGCCATCGGTGTGTGAGTGCGTGTAAATGGTTATTGAGTAGCAGGTGGCATCATTATGGTAACCTTAGCCACCAGTGTGTGAATGGGTGAACATGACATGTAGTGTAAAAGCGCCTTGAGTCAGAAGACTAGAAAGGTGCTATACTAGTGCAGTCCATTTCCTACCTTTGCCTACCACCCTGCTTACACTGCACCTGACCACAGTGCCTGTTCCTGCGAGTGGTGGGCCCACAGGACAGCGGCCTCATGTCGTTCTTTCAGACTGTGCCCAGTCGAACCCCATCAGTTAGGGCCCGGCCACCAGACAGTCACTGGTGGGTTCCTCTCCCAAATTACGTTCCAGAAGGGGGTTTGAGTTGCCATTTTCCAGGTGATCCTTCCAGGAGATACTGCCCCAGGCATCTCAGCTCCAAGAATTACAGAGACACACAACACCCCCATCACCATCACATTAAGATGGTGATTCTTGGAGGAGTTTATCTAATAGCACTAAGACTACCTGCTACCACTGCTAATTTCACAATGCCACTGCTACTACTACTACTAATAATAATCTGTGTGCACAGGAAGTACAAGAGAACAGCGAACATGACCAAACTCATTTTGACTCTGGATGACATCGTCTTCATTGACACTCAAGTCAGCAGGAAGGTTAGAAACTGTTTACTTCACTAAAGTTCCCTCTAAAAGTACAGTACAGGATGAAGTGTTCAAGGATGAACTGCTGCTGATGTTTTTCTTTGGTTGTTGTTGTTTTTGTAGAAACTGAATGATGAGTCGATCATGAGGAGTCTTCTGGAAATCAAAACTCCGTTCCGCTCGATTGCTCGAAGTTACATCCTGACGACACCTGAGAGCTCCAACATTGGAATACTGGAGGTACACCTTTACCTGTCTGCTTAACTGCACCTGCACCTGTGCCTGCACCTGTCTGTCTGTCTGTCTGACTTCCTGCCTGTGCTCTGATTGGTTGTTCTTTTACCAGGGAGACTGGGTTTGGCTAAAGAAGATTCCTGTTGAAAAGACAATAACAGCTGTCAATCAAAACACCCAGAGTTTGTTCAGTCAGGTATGATGAACAGTAGGAACAGCTGATAAACATGTTTTGTAGTACATGTTTGTACATGTTTGTATTCTTACACATTATTTTGTTACAGTGTATTTGTGTTAAGTTGAGGGAGATAAGACATTTTATCAGTGCTGAATTATCTTCTGTCAGGATGTAGATCAATATGTTGACATTAAACTGATAAAATTGTTACACTATATTTTCTGTCCCTCCTGTGTCCCTCCCTGTTCCCTCCTATGTCCCTCCTATGTCCCTCCTGTGTCTCTCCTCTGTCCAGCTGAGGGACATGCGACATGAGAACATGAACCTGTACGTGGGTTTGTTTCTGGACTCAGGGATCTTTGCTCTGGTGGTTGAACACTGTCCTCGAGGAAGTCTGGCTGACCTGCTGGCCGACAGTGACATGAGGCTGGACTGGATGTTCAAGTCGTCCTTGCTCATGGACCTCATCAAGGTGCTGCTGAGAAACTACCACAACAAATACTTGTAAAACTTCCCCTAACAATAGTCATGATGATAGTAATGAGATGTCCTGCTGAAACCTGCCGGTATGTGTTGGTGTTTCTGAGCGTCCTGTGTGGTGTTTCTGGGTGTCGAGGCTTTGTGTGGTCTGACTCTGATTTCTCTGCTGATCGTTTAATCCTCCGATCACACAGGAACTTCCTGTCTCACTGTGTGAAGTCTGAAGGTGACTGAGATTCAGTCTGCGGGGCTCTTTGAGAATATCAATCAATCAATCAATCAATTTTATTTATAAAGCCCAATATCACAAATCACAATTTGCCTCACAGGGCTTTACAGCATACGACATCCCTCTGTCCTTATGACCCTCACAGCTGATCAGGAAAAACTCCCCAAAAAACCCTTTAACGGGAAAAAAAACGGTAGAAACCTCAGGAAGAGCAACTGAGGAGGGATCCCTCTTCCAGGAAGGACAGACGTGCAATAGATGTCGTACAGAACAGATCAGCATAATAAATTAACAGTAATCTGTATGACACAATGAGACAGAGAGAGAGAGAGAGAGAGAGAGAGAGAGAGAGATGCAGGTAATGACAGTAGCTTACAACAACATTATTGAAAGTAATAATATTATAGTTATAGTTCTGGCTACTGTGGTACAATATGTTGAAAGTATGTATTAATATCTGGCAGTATACATGTGTGACAATAGTCATATGTGTATAATAACAGTAGAAGTATGACTAATGACTAATGATGGCAGCAGCAGCAGGAGGCATCTGGCAGGACCACGGCAGCAGCACAACCACACACGTCACGCTGTCCAGGCACCGCTGCGATATGAGTTAATCTGAGAGACAGTGGAGCACAAAGGCTCCGGAGAAGAAGCCGAGTTAGTGACATCCAGAATGGCCGAGTTAGCAAGATGCAGTAATAGGATGAGAGTGAGAGAGAGAGAGAGAGAGAGAGAGAGAGAGAGAGAGAGGGAGAGAGAGGGAGCCCGGTGTATTATAGGGGGTCCTCCGGCAGACTAGGCCTAAGTCAGCCTAACTAGGGGCTGGTACAGGGCAAGCCTGAGCCAGCCCTAACTATAAGCTTTATCAAAGAGGAAAGTCTTAAGTCTAGTCTTAAATGTGGAGACGGTGTCTGCCTCCCGGACCGTAACAGGAAGATGATTCCACAGGAGAGGAGCCTGATAGCTGAAGGCTCTGGCTCCTGATCTACTTTTGGAGACTTTAGGGACCACGAGTAACCCTGCGTTCTCAGAGCGCAGTGTTCTGGTGGGATAATATGGCACTATGAGCTCTCTAAGATATGACGGAGCTTGACCATTTAGAGCTTTATAAGTTAACAGTAGGATTTTAAATTCAATTCTGGATTTTACAGGGAGCCAGTGCAGAGAAGCTAAAACAGGAGAAATATGATCTCGTTTCTTAGTTCCTGTTAGTACACGTGCTGCTGCATTCTGAATTAGCTGGAGAGTTTTTAAGGACTTACTAGAGCTACCTGATAATAGAGAGTTACAGTAATCCAGCCTTGAGGTAACAAAAGCGTGGACCAATTTTTCTGCATCTTTTCGGGTCAGGATAGGCCTAATTTTCGCAATATTACGCAGATGAAAAAATGCAGTCCGTGAGGTTTGTTTTAAATGAGAATTAAAAGACAAATCTTGATCAAATATTACTCCGAGGTTTCTTACGGTAGTGCTAGAGGCCAGAGCAATGCCATCTAGAGAAACTATGTCATCAGATAAAGAGTCTCTGAGTTGTTTGGGGCCAAGAACAATAACTTCAGTTTTGTCTGAATTTAACATCAGGAAATTGGTGCTCATCCAAGTTTTTATGTCTTTAAGGCAGTTATGGAGTTTAGTTAATTGATTACTTTCTTCTGGCTTCATCGATAAATACAACTGAGTATCATCCGCATAACAATGGAAATTTATAGAGTGATTTCTAATGATGTTACCTAAAGGAAGCATATATAGAGTAAATAGGATTGGTCCGAGCACAGAACCTTGCGGAACTCCAAAACAAACTTTGGTACGTAAGGATGATTCATTATGAACGTCAACAAACTGAAAACGATCAGATAAATAAGATTTAAACCAGCTTAGTGCAGAACCTTTTAGGCCAATTAAGTGATCCAGTCTCTGCAGTAGAATTTGATGGTCAATTGTGTCAAACGCCGCACTAAGATCTAATAAAACAAGTACAGAGACGAGTCCTTTGTCTGAAGCAATCAGAAGGTCATTTGTAATTTTAACTAGTGCTGTCTCAGTGCTATGATGCACTCTAAATCCTGACTGAAATTCCTCAAATAAATTATTATCCTGGAGAAAATCACACAGCTGGTCTGCGACTACTTTCTCAAGGATCTTTGACATAAAGGGAAGATTAGATATTGGTCTATAGTTGGCTAACACCTCTGGATCCAGGGTGGGCTTTTTTAGTAGAGGTTTAATTACAGCTACCTTAAAAGACTGTGGTACATAGCCTGTTAATAAGGATATATTGATCATATAGAATTTTGTCATTAAAAAGCTCATAAAATCATTACTGCTAAGGGCTAAAGGAATACAAGGCTCAATAGAGCTTTGACTCTCAGTCAGCCTGGCTACAGTGCTGAAAAGAAACCTGGGGTTGTTCTTATTGTCTTCTATTAAAGCTTAGTAATAGTTTGCTCTGGCATTGCGGAGGCCCCTCTTTATACAGCTGAAGTTTTGTAAAACCATCTGAATAAGGTATTTATCATCCGGCCTTTAAACAGAAACCAAAACAAAGCTCTGTGTTTGTATGATGCTTAATTTCTGTGACACTTTTTACTCTCTGATTCAAATCTTTATTGAATGATAACAAACACAGTTTTCTCTTTCAGGGGATGAAGTATCTTCATCTACGAGGTTTGAGTCATGGTCGACTAAAGTCCACAAACTGTTTAGTTGACGGGCGCTTTGTCCTAAAAATCACAGACTACGGACTTCCCATGATCCTTCACTCTCAGAACCTCAGCCTCCCAGAGGACCCACAAGGTATTTTTTTAAATTTATTTAACTTTCATTTCACCAGAAAAACCTCCACATTCAAATCTTCTTTTCAAGAGTGTCCTGACTGAGACAGGCAAGCAGTAGGAGTTACAACACAGAACAAAAGTTAAAAATCAACATGCAGCTGTAAAACAAAAAGAGATCAGTTCAAAGAAAAACTAAAACTTATGTTAATATCTGTTCTAAATGAACCATAGGAGCAATGACCAACACAACCAGATAAAATACACCCTATCATCAGCATATAGGCGACCACATGCAGAGCTTTGAAATGTCCCAGAGGAACCAGTGAGTTCAACTTAAAGTCCTGCAGCAGAGTCCATGTGCAGACAGAAATTTGCCAGACCATGTTCAGAGCAGAGACATTTAATCTACACTCATAAATCTATCTTATTTGCTAATGACACCAATCTCTTTGCTACTGACAGTAATATTGATTCACTTATTGATAAGGCAAATTCTGGGCTCACTCAATTTGCTCAGTGGTTTCAGTTAAATAAATTATCACTTAATGTCAAAAAATCTAATTTCATCATCTTTAAGAACAAGAATAAGAATTACAATCCAGAAAAAACTAACATTTATATTAATAACAACTTACTTTCCAATGTTTCATCAACAAAGTTTTTAGGTGTCAATATTGATGAGAAACTTTGTTTTAGGAATCATTGTGAATTTGTGTGCAAGAAGGTCTCAAAATCCTTAGGTATCATAAAAAAGGTTAAACCCTATTTAAAAATAAGTACTTTATTAACCTTGTACTACAGCTTAATTTATTCTCATATCTCTTATTGCAATTTAATCTGGGCTAGCACTTATCCTTCTTACTTACAACCAATTCATAGACTCCAAAAATCCTTTGTAAGAATTGCCACTAACTCTCTATATTTAGCTCCATCCACACCTCTGTTTAAAAAATTACAAATACTAACAATCTACGATGTGAATAAGTATCAAACAGGAATCTTGATGTACAAAGTTATATGTTTTCCATTTTCTTTACCCAAGCATTTTCATAATTATTTTGAGTTTAATTCTTATTATCATTCTTATTCCACAAGAAAGAGGAATGATTTGCATATCCCCTTCTGTAGAACCGCTGTTGCAAAATTTTCATTTATCTACCAAGGTGTTGTGCTGTGGAACAGTTTAAAACATCTAAGTGAAACATGCTCAACATTATCTGCATTTAAAAGAAGGCTGAAGCAGAGTTTAACGATTTTTTAACACATTTGTGTTTTTCGTTTTATTCTTATTTCATTCAAATATATCTTTGGACTATTTAATTGTATTCTGAGGTATCATATGATTCTGAGATATCATTTATTGCATTAATTTGAGTGTGTGTGTGTGTATAAGCTCAGACGTAAGCCTATGTCCGAAGCTTATATAGTTTTGTAATTGTTATTTGTTAGGAGGGGGGGCCGCTTGTAAGCCCATTCGGGTTTTTTATGACCTCTCCTGCACATCTTGTCTATTTTCTTTCTTATCTGTGTAATGTTTCTTTTTTATAAGTGCAAATAAACAAACAAACAAACAAACAAATTAGATGAAATTAAACCAAGAATAACTAAACAAAAGGCTATCAATGATAAAGTCTATGAGGGTCTTTATGGGTGTTCTGTCCCTGAGCTTTTGGGTCCATTTCACCTGAACAGTGGAGTGTTTTGTCGTGTGGTCCGGTTGGTTTGAGGTGGTGTCAACGTTTGTTCAAATTCTGGTGTGAACCAAACAACCAAACTGGTCTGCCCAAAAATGTTGAACTAAAATGTGGTTCACTTCAGGTGAGAATGTGATCTGACCTGATGACAGGAAGTGACCCATGATCTGTGTTCACTGTCTTTTTAACAAGGTTAACACATAATCTGTCTGTCTCTCATCAGGACCCGTTTGCTCCTTCAGTACAATCTCACTTGTCTCATTCAAAAGATGAAAGGTTCAACAAGATGCTGCTCATGACCTCCTTCTATAAACGTGATCGAACTTAACAACAAAGCAAAACCAGAAACACAGAGTAAATTTGGTGTTCCTCTAACATGCCTGCGACCAGGAAGTGTTTCACTCAGATATTTTGTCCAACAGACAAGCGGCCGTTTCCACAGCGCAACATTTTTTTTTATAATGTTCGCTTCAGTTCAGTGAACTGAGTCACATTAAAAAAAATCCAACAGTGTTACAGCTGAACCGCCAAATTGCTCCGAGTCTTCTGACCGATCGGTTTTCTGTCGTCATCATTCTGACAGTGAAATGTGAGGCTGAAGGTTTTTTCAGTTTCTACTGCTGAAATGTTTCTATGAACCACAAGGAACAATAACAAGGTCAAAGGTTATAAAGACGCACTGACTTCCTGTCTGTCTCTGTCTCTACCTGTCTGTCTCCACCTGTCTGTCTCTACCCGTCTGTCCCTCTGTCTCTACCTGTCTGTCTATCAGAGCTGCTGTGGACAGCTCCAGAGCTCTTGAGGAATCCAGTCCGGGGAGGTTCTTTTGCTGGAGACGTCTTCAGTTTCTCCATCATCATACAGGAAGTGATCTCACGAACCCTGCCGTATGCCATGATGGACATGCCTGCCCACGGTGAGACAGGATGTCCATCTTTCTGTCTGTCTGTCTGTCTGTCTGTCTATCTGTCTGTCTGTCTCTCAGAGATTGTGGAGTGTCTGAAGCAGCCTCCTCCTCTCTGTAGACAACCTGTCTAACCACCTGTCTGTCTGTCTATCTGTCTGTCTGTCTCTCAGAGATCGTGGAGCGTCTGAAGCAGCCTCCTCCTCTCTGTAGACCTCTGGTTTCAGTGGATGAAGCTCCTGCTGAGTGTCTCAGTCTGATGAATGAATGTTGGAATGAAGATCCGAGTAAGAGGCCGAGCTTTGATGACATTTTTAAACAGGTAAGACGAGCTGCACTGCTGCCACCTGCTGGCTCATGTCCTGAACTGTCTCTGTATGTTTGACTCTTTCTCAATCAGGGAACGTCCTAGCCCTTCAAACTTGTTATGATCTGGTTTGTCCTTTGTGTTTGCAGTTTCGTGGCATTAACAGAGGAAAGAGAGCAAACATCATTGACTCCATGTTGCGAATGTTGGAGCAGTACAGTTCGAACCTGGAGGATCTGATCAGAGAACGAACAGACGAACTGGAGGTTGAGAGAAACAAGACAGAGAAGCTGGTCGGACAACTCCTGCCAAAGTAAGACACATTTAAACTTTAACTCAGCAGTCAGAATGTTGCAACTGTGGTGATATTATGGTCTGTAAAGGACATGGACATTCAGCAGGACAAAGACAAGAGAGAGTTGAAGTGGAGGCAGAGACACTAAAGTGAAGACTCTTCCTCCTCCTCTTCTTCAGCACTTACATACATCTATTTATTTACTTACTACTTCTACGAAGAAACATGTTGACATAATTCAGTGTGACGTCTCATTACCTCTGATGTCCATTCAGAATAAACGTCCATAAAGAATCATCATGTGTCTCAGTTTTCTTCAGTTGATTGTTGTCTGCTGATCCAAACAGCAGTTGCTCACGTCATTCAGCTGACACTCAGGACAACATGGAGACAAATGGAGGATTAAAAAGCATGTCTGTAAAGAGAACAGCAAACAAAAAGAAACCAGCAGCTTTATTTAACACAACAGAAGGCTCAGGAACTTACGAAGGATGGAAGTTTGTTTTAAATCGTAAAAAACATGTGTGTTTCAGGTCCGTGGCTCAGGCTCTGAAGAAAGGGAAGCCAGTCCAACCTGAACATTATTCAGACTGCACGCTTTACTTTAGTGACATCGTTGGATTTACAACCATCTCAGCTCTCAGTGAACCCATTGAGGTACAAACTGTTGAAAACCCAGCTAGCCCTGACACTGACCCTGTTTACATCACTGACCCTGACCCCTCACCGTTTACATCACTGACCTTGACACTGACCCTGTTTACATCAGTAAACCTGACCCCTCACCCTGTTTACATCATCGACCCTGACCCTGTTTACATCACTGAGCCTGACCCTGACCATGTTTATCAATCAATCAATCGATCAATCAATCAATTTTATTTATAAAGCCCAATATCAAAAATCACGATTTGCCTCACAGGGCTTTACAGCATATGACATCCCTCTGTCCTTATGACCCTCACAGCTGATCAGGAAAAACTCCCCAAAAAAACCCTTTAACAGGGAAAAAACGGTAGAAACCTCAGGAAGAGCAACTGAGGAGGGATCCCTCTTCCAGGACGGACAGACGTGCAATAGATGTCGTACAGAACAGATCAACATAATAAATTAACAGTAATCTGTATGACACAATGAGACAGAGAGAGAGAAAGAGACATAGAGACAGAGAGAGACGGTAATGACAGTAGCTTACAACAACATTATTGAAAGTAATAATATTATAGTTATAGTTCTGGCTACTGTGGTACAATATGTTGAAAGTATGTATTAATATCTGGCAGTATACATGTGTGACAATAGTCATATGTGTATAATAACAGTAGAAGTATGACTAATGACTAATGATGGCAGCAGCAGCAGGAGGCATCTGGCAGGACCACGGCAGCAGCACAACCACACACGTCACGCTGTCCAGGCACCGCTGTGATATGAGTTAATCTGAGAGACAGTGGAGCACAAAGGCTCCGGAGAAGAAGCCGAGTTAGTGACATCCAGAATGGCCGAGTTAGCAAGATGCAGTAATAGAATACGAGAGAGAGAGAGAGAGAGAGAGAGAGAGAGAGAGAAGGAGAGAAGGTGCCCGGTGTATTATAGGGGGGTCCTCCGGCAGACTAGGCCTAAGTCAGCCTAACTAGGGGCTGGTACAGGGCAAGCCTGAGCCAGCCCTAACTATAAGCTTTATCAAAGAGGAAAGTCTTAAGTCTAGTCTTAAATGTGGAGACGGTGTCTGCCTCCCGGACCGTAACAGGAAGATGATTCCACAGGAGAGGAGCCTGATAGCTGAAGGCTCTGGCTCCTGATCTACTTTTGGAGACTTTAGGGACCACGAGTAACCCTGCGTTCTCAGAGCGCAGTGTTCTGGTGGGATAATATGGCACTATGAGCTCTCTAAGATATGACGGAGCTTGACCATTTAGAGCTTTATAAGTTAACAGTAGGATTTTAAATTCAATTCTGGATTTTACAGGGAGCCAGTGCAGAGAAGCTAAAACAGGAGAAATATGATCTCGTTTCTTAGTTCCTGTTAGTACACGTGCTGCTGCATTCTGAATTAGCTGGAGAGTTTTTAAGGACTTACTGACCCTGACCCCTCACCCTGTTCACATCACTAACCCTGACACTGTGTGTGTGTAGGTGGTCGACCTGCTGAATGACCTCTACACCATGTTTGATGCCATCATTGCCACACATGATGTTTACAAGGTAGGAACCTTTAACGTTTCTCTCACCACTGTTGGTTCGTCCACAGGTTGAATTAATAAACTCCTCTTCTTTTCCCTCTCAGTTTGAAGCTTCGTTAAGACTAAATCTGAGTTTTACTGAAACTCTCCGTAGTTTAAATTTTAAATAGGCTAAAAGTTAACAAAAATAGATTTACGCACCTTTGTTTGTCCAGGTGTGTCACTGTGATCTCTACTTAAACACCTGGAGACTCAAGACAGCTTTGTGGAGTCAAAGCGTTTCACTCAATTGACGTCTAAATGCTCACTTTATTTTTTAAAAAAGATTTTGTTGATGAGGAGTTATTGAGCATCAGTAAACATGTCTGATCAATATATTTTTAATAAATGTACCCATCAAACTGCTGTAAGGTGTTTGTGTGTGTGGTATTTGCAGGTAGAAACGATAGGTGATGCCTACATGGTGGCTTCAGGTATTCCCAACAGAAATGGGAATCGACACGCAGGTGAAGTGGCCAACATGTCTCTGGACATCCTGCACTCGATAGCAGCTTTTAAGATCAGACATATGCCTGAGATCAAAGTCAAAATACGCATCGGATTGCACACAGGTACACACACAGACACAAAGAGACACACACACACACACACACACACACACACACACACACATTTGATCACTTTTTCATATGTGAAAAACTCTGCTGGTCATCGTCATGTTTCTACAGTTCAGTCCTCCAGCTTTTCTGCCAGGTCACAGAAGAGGAGCCTGATAGCTGAAGGCTCTGGCTCCTCTTTAGGACCCACAGTAACCCTGCATTCTCAGAGCGCAGTGTTCTGGTGGGATGATGGGGCACTATGAGCTCTCTAAGATATGACGCAACATTTAGAGCTCTGTAAGTGAGAAGAAGAATTTTACAGGGAGCCAGTACCACGGTGTTCTGGATCAGCTGGAGAGTTTTTAAAGACTTGTTATGCCCCGGTCCAGAGAGGACAGATGTTCTGAGCAGTTTCTCTGAGGCAGGATCATTTCTGTTATATTGCACAGATGGAAGAACTCAGTCTGTGAAGTTTGTTTTATCTGATCAAATATTTCTGCAAGGGTCCTTAGGGTTGTGTCATTGGTCAGAGGTCATTCAGAGAAACTATATTTGTAGACAGAGTTTTATGTCCTGAAGTTTAGTTAGCTGATCTGTTTCTTAAGATTGATGGATTTAACTGTGTTTCATCTGCATAAAAATGGAAGTTTACAGAGGGTTTTCTAATGATGTTACCTAATGGAAGCAAATAATAAATAAAGTGAACTGAACTGGTCCAGGTTCAGAACCTTGTGGAACTTCATAACCAAACTACTAAACATAAACAGTTTGTGCACTGACCACATGTTCTGTGTGGTCAGTAAACTCTGAGGAGTCAGAAACTGTCAGGTGATCAGTCATTTTGGTTGTTGTCATGGTAAATAAAACTTTTGTCTACGTGATAAGAGCTGTGTTAAAAAAAAAACAAGCTTACCTGGGTTAAAGTTGATGACGAAACACATGAGTGAACCTGTGTCTTCAGGTGCGGTGGTAGCAGGTGTGGTCGGTCTCACCATGCCCAGGTATTGTCTGTTTGGAGACACAGTGACAACGGCCTCACACATGGAAGCCACCGGACTGCGTATGTAGAAAACACTAACATCAGAGATTTATTAACAGAGATTGTGCAGGAAATATTCTGATCTGAGCTAAGTGTT